TACATCGAAAACATACACTCGGTCAACTTACTCCTTGTGAGTACTTGAAGCATCTACTCCGAGCTAGCGACTAAAGTGCCTTGGCACTAATTGAGATATGTTCGAACATTCTAAACATACAAGACGATCATCATAGTGCTAGAGTAACTCGAGTGTCCTGATTGTTTTCCTAAGTGTCACACAATGACTAGTTTTATGTCATCTTAATTTACATTGGTTCTAGATGTAATTGTATTCATTAACTTATTCTCACTTTTAGTCTCATTAGTGAAGTTTTGGTGTTATTAGATTCTTTCTCAACCCCTTGGTCAAATTGAGTTTATAACACAATTCAAGACAAGGGTATCAATATTCAACCTTTTAGTATTGATGCTAGTCAATGAGTATCCGTACTCACCCTTGGTACCGATACCAAAATTGGCTATTGAAATTTGGGATTGCTTAATGGAATTGATACTCCTACTTGGAGTATCAGTACTTATGTACTAGGGTATGCATACCATCCTGAGTATCGATACCAAAATCTAATTCAATATTTTAAAAATTGATTCGGTATTGATACCCTTACTTAGGATATCGATACCCTTCACTCGGTATCGATACTCCCTTGAGTATTGATACCAAAATATGCTACTGGAATTTGAAATTTGCACGTGGTATCGAAACCCCACCCTTGAGTATCGATACCCTATGAACAATATTGATACCTAATGAATAGGTATCGATACTCCTAGCAAAAAAATCCCTTGTTTTAGGCTATTTGAAGAATAGTATCGGTACTGTTCATATGGTATTGATACCTAAGTCTATAAATGCTCTATTTTGTGCACGAAAATGGGACCTAACTCTATCCATTTTCCCCCTCTAAATCGCTTAAACGTTATTTAAGTCTTATTTAAGCTGTTAGATGTCATAAAGAGTCATTTATCATGCTAGCTAACATCATAATTGAGATCTACCATGATTGTACTCATATGCTCCTAAACTCGCGCAAACTAACTATGAACATCTTATGACTCACAAGTGGTATGGAGAACTTAGAAATGTGTTACATTGATCCTACACTACTGGAAAAAAATCCTCAACTTAACCAAGAACCAACTTCTCCTTGCCTTGGTCTTAGAGCTCTCTCCAATCTCTTTCACTATACAAGAATTAGAAAAATGTGTTACCACTCACTGAAGAGATTGAAGAGAAGTTAGGGGAGTTTCCTACAACTAAAAATCTATAAAAAAAATTGGGTTGGATTGATGAGTGTTCTAAGTCGATAATATTTTCTCGTTAATTCTTTGTTCTTGTGGATTTATTGCTGCTGATTTGGTTGTATTATACTTATTTTCGTGCAGGATCTTACTTTTCAGAATTAGCAGTAAAAAGGGTGCATTCTGCAGTTTTTTATTATTTGGTCACGGCTGGAGACATGGGCATGACTCTGGGTATGACATAGTCTGACGTGACAGTTTCTAGAAGGTTCAGTCAGTAGTAGTTTTCTAGAAGATCTAGTCAGCACCTTCTAGAAGGTGGACGGGCAGAGATATCTTAGGAGATTTAAAGTTTGAATTTGAATAAAACATTTGGAATTATCTTTAGGATTATTTTTATTCCATGTTTATCTCTAGGATTTTAGTTTAAATATTTTAAGAGTTGTCTTTTATATTGTCCATATTTTTAGGATTTTATAGTTTAAGAATTACCTTTAGGATTTATTTCTTATTTATTTTAGGAATTATTTTTCCTTGTTTTTAGGATTTTGAAGGCTATAAATATCCTCTTAGGGTAAGCCTAAAAACACATTCAAAATTTATTCTTCTTCTTTCCTCTGGTTTAATAAAAGTTTTCTTTTTTTTTTCAAAGTTTTTCTTTGTTTTTATTTTTATTTTTAAAGATGCTAACTATGATTGTCATACTTAGCTAATTTCTCCATAGCCAATGGTTGAAGCGATAACTCAATGTCTATTGTGAGGATTGAAAAACACTAAAATAACTTCGAGTTATTTTCTCAAATTTCTGGAGGAATAAGATTGGTAATCAACCTATCTTTTTAAAATCAAAACGTTTTTAATCAAAAAGAGCTCGTTGGTTCGAAAGTTGTTCTGATTTATAGTTGGGAGGAAGAATCGACTAGTAGCAACTTTGACTTCCTGTGAACACACTTAGCAGTAGTCTACTAAGGGAAATTGAGATGGGCTTGATTCTCATTGAGGCAATATAGTCCAAGTAGGGTTTTTCTAGATCTTTAAAATAGGCTGGTGCTAATGAAGATAGTCGTAATTAGTCTCCGTAAAGGGTTGATATCCAAAAATAGATTTTGGATTATAAGTTCACAAGAGAGAAAAACAAGTTACAGGGGTTGGACCCTGTAAACTGTAACCGACAAATAATCGAAGCAAAAATTTATTCTGAGGATCAACTGGAATTGAGGAAAAAGCTAAAGCTTGGGGCTAATTTCAACATAAGTTTTTCTTTATCTAAATCACTTTAAATTTATTTATTTATTTTGTCCGTATCTTTTATTTTAAAATAATTTTTAAACCCCCCATTTAATCTCATCCAAAACTCTACCTTATCGCATCATTATCAAAATCAGAAAGTTCACTTCATCAGAAACTCTAGAGTTCCTGCGGACCGACCATGCTTCTCTATTCTACTATTTATTTATTTATTATTAAGAAGCCGAAATTATTATTTTGACAACAAAACAAACTAGGAATGGACACCCTAAACCCTACAACTAAAAATCTATCCAAAATTGGGTTGGATTAACAAGGTTTCTAAACCCCACTAAAACCATAAATGGACACCATAACAAAATCTTGACATGGAGAACTTGACTGGAACCTCTTGGAAGGCTAAGCAAGAATCTTACCTTCACCAAAATGAACTAGGAATGCTAGCAGATAAAAGCTTGCACCTTTGAGTGGTATGCTAAGGGGAAAAGAGAGTGCTTTTGGGAGAAGAAGACAACTTAGGTGAAGAAAAAGAGATACAATGCCCAACTTTTGTTTTAAATAATGAGATATTTATGGGCTTTAATATCGATATTATTCTTAAGGTATCAATATTGTATGAAATTATACTAAAAAGTTGTACAAGTTATGAAAGGAGTATCCATACTTATTCTTCAGGTATCGATATTGTCCTATTGATATCAAGATGAAATGTTGGATTTCAATAAGCTAATTTAATATCGGTATTGTCCTAGAATATAAAAACCATCTTGTGAGTATCAATATCTTATTTGGTATCAATACCTAAGGTTGTTTGAGCCTAGTTTTACTTCTAATTTAGGAAAATTATAATTGATTCATAATGGTCAAATGTCCATATAAGGAGGCCTAGATGTACTAAATGAATGGAATACCCTTAAATGGTGTAAATTATCAAAATGCTATTGTAAACACAAAATTATCAAAATACCCCTTAAACTTAATAATTGGTCTTGAGGGGTTAAAACTTAAGGAAATGGGTACCATATTCTTGGGGCTTAGTATTGGATCTTGAGAAACCTGTGTTGATATTAATGGAAATGGCTTGAAGGTTAGAATAACTAAAATGTCCCTAAATATAAAACAACCAAAACACCCATATATAGAAGAAAAAATGTTAAATTCCTCATAGTTTGAATGAATCATTCATAATTACTTGATGAATCTTATTAACGATTATAAGGTACTAAAAGAATATTATACCCTTAAACATAATGTTTTAAGAAAGAATTTATAATTGAGGGTAAGTTGTATAATTATTTGTCAGAAAAAGTTTTACGTCTAATGAATGAATAAATGTTATGACTATGTAATCAAGCTACATCGATTGGCCTTAAAGGGTGACGATTAATATGTTTTGCCTACGAGCACTTATATACGTGTGACTGCATACATCGAGATCATTGTTTGGATATCTATGATTGTACAATTTGATCGTTTGATGATATCATATGTTTGATCCTTGTATTTATTCCGGTGGAGAACAATACTTGATTACTTAAATGATACAGGATACCACATATATCATTGATACTAGATTGCCTGACTGCTTAGAGATATTCGTTGCTATTATGATTTATTATCTTCGATATCTATATTTTAATTTGATGATCATTTCAATAGCTTAATGTAACATTTTAAATTGACCTACGTTTAGAATTTCTTTATCTATATTTAGAATTTATACATAAAAAATAGATCAAAATCAAAAGTCTAGAAAACAATTTTATCTACCTACGTAAACTTTAATTTTTTATTAATTGGTAATTGATCAAGCTCGAAAAGAGAGTATGGCCAATTTTGTTGAAAATCAAAATTGGAACGACACTTGCAGTTAATCTGTTAAAGGATACATAATTTTGAAATTTTGAAAAAAGAGAGGGAATATTTTATTATATTACATAGTCATTTTTCCTTTAATTATATGGAAATGTAAATGCAAATAAAAATTAATTAATTGAGAAATATTAAAAAAGTTAAGAATAAAAAATTTCATATAACTTTATAGTATTTTGATGTTTTTATTGCTCCCTTCCAATCATTCAATCAAAAGAGATAAAAGTCGGTGAATAAGAAAGAATAAGAAAAAAAGTTTTTATAGAACGAGATTAAGATATTACATTATCTATTAATTCAATTACACTATAAGGTGTTTATAAATTCAATTAAATTATAAGTTGATTATAAAGTAGTATATATTCTAATTATAACGAACACTCAATTACACTTGTAGTCATTGGTGCTCGAATCCGTGATCTCTAAGAACAATAACGATTCCTTTAACTATTGGGGTAATCATACAATATTAAGCATAATTTGGATAAAAATAACATTTTAATGTAAAATAAATGTTTCATATAATGCTTTCTCACAATTGTATATGCCCTTCACACAAATTACAGCAAGGAGTGGCCCAAAATTTCTACGTTGACTAACCTAATCTGATTTGGATTTTTTATCTTCATGTTCTGTATTGATCAGCCAATAACAGTCATCAAGAAGAGAGAAGACCTATTAGAAAATGTCAAGAATCTGGCGGATCGAACGGCTGCAGGGAGATATGTCAAGAATATCGAGGATGGAACGGTTGCAGAGGGGACATGACCCTCGATTCACCCACAGCAACCTCGAACACACCCTGCAAAAAGTGTGTCCACACGGGATCAACGCCGCCCCTTTCTTCCTCTCCATGCACACACAGCACATCGAATCACTCCCCGGTTCCACGCTCGTTCCTTTCTCTTTCTCATCCGCCCTGTCTCCGCCGTTTGCCTCCATCGACGGCGGTGTAAGCCCTGGATCCGAATCCGTTGCTGCTACTTGTTCTTCTATTTCAACTTCACCTTCGTCCTTGAGGCTCAACGTCGTTGACCTGAAACCCCAGTTAGACCCACAGCATCCCATGACTTTAAATCCCAGCCGTTCCTTGAAACTTCTTCTCCTCCTCCTTTCCTTATCTACAACGTCCATGTCTCTCCCTGCAAACATCAAACTGAGTTGACTCATTTTTCTTGTTAACAAAGGATATTGCAAATGGAAAGAAAACCCAGTAAAAGACTAGCTAGGGAATAGCGGTCTGATATCAAAATAACAATATTTATAATGATTATAATTTAAATGTATGTATCGTATCACTTGAAACATTAAGAAAATCTCACCTCTTGAATTTTGATTCAATTTTGCAGAGTTATAGTCTTCGATTAATCACTTTATTGATTCAATTTTGGAGTTCTGATTAATCACTTTATTGTAGATAAACCATTAGGTTAAGTTAAAGTTCAAATGTTTAAAACAATATTAAATCATAACACGAGAAAATAATAATTAAGTAACTAAATAAAATAATTAAATAATTTTTATATAATTAAAAATATAATTTTATTTTAAAATTTTGTGCTTTTTTAATTGAGTTTATCATTTGTCGAATGGACGTTGATATCATAATAAATAATAAAAAGTAAGAAAAATTATATTTTTCTTAAAAAAAATCTACCTAAAACTAAAAAAAATGCAAAGTTATTTTAAAGTTTACACAATTTCATTTTTTTTCGTATTATTTCTTTGAAACAAAAGTCGATAACTTCTAATAATTCTCGTACCAAAATTAATTTGAAAATATTTTGCGTAAAAAAAACTAGTGTTTCATATACAATTAATAAAATTAATTTGAACTTTACATTTTTTTAAAAAAAATTCCAATTTTATTGCAATTAATTTAACAAACATAGGAGTTGGAAGTAGTGGTTAAATGGTTTGCTGAAGTTTTTAAGGACTCATAAAGTTTAACTTTTTACTACCAATAGGATGGTGACACGAATCAATAATAAAAAATTACTCATAAGCATATAAATTAAAGAAAATGAAATCTAAGTATAGGGATTAAAATTAAAATGAAACCTAAGCTTATTTTCAATGATGAAAATGAATTTTTTTTTATAATTGAATGACACAATGATAAAATTTACCCTAAAATTATTGAATGGGTATATATATAGGGACCCATATGATTTAAATTATGGGAGCAGGTGCAAAGCTAGAATTAGTTTAGTTGTAAACCTCACCTCCCACGGGAAACATGAAGGAGACCGCGGGTTACTTTGTAGCTTTACGCAGAAGTCAAGTTGATATATCAAGGTTTAATGTACTTTAAGTCCCTTAACATTTGTATGTTTATATCATATTAAAGGCATAATAAAAATTTACCCCAATGTTTACACAAATGATCACATTACCCCTTATTCTTTTCTTAGAGCATTTTAACTCCTAGCGTTTCAATTTTTAGTCACCATCGGGGTAATTTTTTTCATTATGCCTATATTAACTATTAAAATTTTATAATTAATAATATAAAAATACCAAAAATATATCATAATAATATTATAGATAAAAATTTATGCATTTGATTATTATATAGATTTAAATTTTTTATGTTCTTATTTTTAAAGGAATATTAATGATAAATTTACTATTTTTTTAATTTTAATTGAAGTTGAATGGTTCTAGAATAATTTTAATGAGTCCAATGTATTTTTTTTTTGTGAAATGGACATCAATTCACGTTCATGAGATTAAAAAAAATGTAAACTAAAAATTTTAGGGTCTAATAGTCAATGGTGGTGAATATTGATGTTGACTAGCACTGATCGATGATGCAGTAGAAAGAGATGATCGATGGCATGTGACTTTGGTTGAATTTAGGGGTTAAATTGTTATTTTATTTTAAGTTTAGGGGTTAAATTAAAAGTTATCCCTTTTTGTCTGATATGTCACATCATCATATTAACCGAATTAATGACTCAGTGACCAAAATATATTAATAGATAATATAAGTAACCAAAAATAAATAAATAAATAAATAAATGAGTAATCGAAATGTACTTTTTTATAATAAAAAAAATCATGAGCAAAAATATATAAACATGAAAGAAAAGTGATCAGTTAGATAGTTAACACACAAATCTTATATTCCTCTTCTTTAGACTTTGAAAGGTCCCTCACACAGTCACACTAATAGAAAAACAAAAAACTGAAGCGTGTACGTAATGGACTACAACGATGATAACGTATAATGATAATACATAATAAAATATATATATAAATTATATAAAATACAGATTATATAAATTCTATTTTATATGTAGAGATTTTATTTATGATTTAGGAGTTTAGTTAAAATTAAAAATTTTAATCATGAACCAAGCAATATTGATGGTAAATGAATCGTTGTTATTCCTTAAGGTATTGGGTTCGAGCATCAGGAAATGTCAGAGCTGTGAGGTTCAATGTCAATGGTTGAGATCTTTGAACATATATCACCTTATACTTACCCTGGATTAATAAAAAAGATTTAAAATTTTAAAGGGTAAACTATCGGAATGGTAATTTATTTTATACTTTTTACATTTTTGCTCATCAAATTTAAAGAAGTTAAGATTTGGTGGGTGGGATGTTGAATATTGTTAGTGTGAAATGTTAGTAAAACGGTTTAATTTTATTTTAACCTCTAAAATTTAGATAAAATACTAATTATGAGTTTTTCTTTCTTTCTTTTTTTGTAAACCCAAAGTAACTTAGGGACACATTTTTAATTTAGTCCCTTTTTAATATGTTTTCCCCGCTTGCGTGATACACCCCAATTCTTGTTGTTCATATTTATCGTCGTCGACAGACATGAACCAAGATATATGACTTGGAAAATTATCTCATTTCTTGAACCAAGTTATCATGGAAACCGAGTTGCAAATCTTTGAAGCCTTCTCACGGGTTTTGAAACCCAAGGGGCCACTCCTAATTTTGATACCGAAAATGGGTAATGGGATCTTGGTTTTAATACAATATCTTCCTCGATTTTGATACTCATGCATGAAAAATGGTTAAATGATTCTATAAAACCTCTTAAGTCTCAGACCCCTATTATTGATACGCAAACCATTTATAACCACAAGACAACACTCTTGACCATGAAATATTCATTTTAAGTCGTTTAAAAATTAAGCTTCAAGTAAAGAGATTAACATTTGCATATTTCATTCAAGAATTGTGAGAAAGGGGCCATCAATGACTAAAATATGATATATTATTATGCTTCTCATGCAACTACATCATAACCAGCTTGTATAGTAGCTATGACTTCAAGCTTACTCAATCTCTTAACTTCCTATAACAACATTCATAACAGAATCCAAAACAATCATAACAACTCACACCACACTCAATGCACACATTAGCAGTGCATGTTCTAGAATGCACTGTATATTCTAGAATGCATATTCCAATATTCTCCCTACTCTTTTCCTTCTTGAGCAAATGAGAAAACGAACACTTGGATCGGAAGTGCCGATGTTTCATTCCGTTCGACTTGAATCGGAAGTGCCGATGCTTCCTTCTGTTCGACTTGAATCAGAAGTGCCGATGCTCCTTCCGTTCGATTTGAATCGTCGGTGCACCTTGAAGGCTGAACGTGCTTGACACGCACATGAATCCTCATCCTGATACTCCTGTTTCCCACCTGCTTGTTGACTTTAACACCAATGACACGTTTCGTGACATTCCAAACCCGACCAGTGCGGCCGTGGTAAAACTTATGGGGCATACCCTTATGAACGGCGCTGTTTCCCTTGACGTCGACATAGTCGCCGATCTTGTAAGTCTTGAGATAAGTGGACAAGGGAATGTAATCCTTCTTTCTGAAGGGTCTGGAGAATGAATCCTTTGTTTGAGAGCGGACACCATGACCGGCTGGCATTTCCATGAAGTAGAAGGAACCTCTTTCATCTAAAAAAAACTCAATAGTTCCTACACCAATGTAACCAATAGAAGCTGCAGCAACAACTGTTGCATCACCCATGGCCTTCCGTAACTCTGGTGTCAATGCTGGAGAAGGTGTCTCTTCTAGAAATTTTTTATTCTGTCTCCGGATGTTGTAATCACGCTCACCCAAGTGAACAACATTACCATATTTATCTGCGAGAACCTGGAACTCAATATGCCTTGGATTCTGAATGTACTTCTCCAAATAAATTCCATCATTTCCAATTGCAGCAGCAGCTTCACTTTTGGCTTGTTGCAATAACTTCACAAACTCATGAGGTTCTTTAGCAAGACGCATCAGAGGAAAATAAGAGGGTTGCAGAAAATTAGTGCATGCAGCAAAGGAAAGTGACAATCCAATGGAAGAAGCAACAATAGTTGAACTGATTTAGATCTACAAAAAAATGAAAATAACAACAACGGATGAAGAAAAACAAAGACGTCAGGATCTTTGGCGAATGATACCATGTGAGAAAGGGGCCGTTAATGACTAAAATCTGATATATTATTATGCTTCTTATGCAACTACATCATAACCAGCTTATATAGCAGCTATGACTTCAAGCTTACTCAATCTCTTAACTTCCTATAACAACATTCATAACAGAATCCAAAACAATCATAACAACTCACCCACTCACCCACTCAATGCACACATTAGCAGTGCATGTTCTAGAATGCACTGCATATTCTAGAATGCATATTCCAATAAGAATTAAGCATGATGTGAACATTAATGCACCACTTGACATATACACACAACTTTCCTTTAAGACTGAAAATGTATAATGCTTACTGCAAAACAATATAATACCCAAGGAAAACTTTAACAAAATATTTAATATACATGTCACTAGTATTAAGAAGAGATGGATAATACATGAGGTGACTATGTTGCTTTCCAAAATTCAATGTAAACCCCAATACGAGCTAGCTTTTAGCAAAATAACCTACACACAAAAACATTGCACGTTGAACCTTAAACTCAGTGATACCAAAGAAATACACACATGCAACAACGATAATGTAAAACATGTTTTGATAATTAATTAAGCATAAATACAACATTCATATTACATTACCATCATAATTCATCATAAAACTTCATTAATTATTCGGTTGACCTTCGTAATAGTGTGAACTCTTCCATAGGTATACGAGTAAACAATATTACCTAAAAGGGTGACAGCGTAACC